ACTGCTATCTCCATTATGTATACTCAGTATTATTATACTTCAGAGAATAAATCTTTTATTCTAGGCTTTGGCATAAAGACCTGGTTATCTTTAGGTGGTATAGCCAGACAGGCCAGGTTGCTGTAGTTCTCCAGCATCACATCCATGTACAATTTCCACTGAGCTGTATCCAGGCATTTCCACTCCTCCTGAGAGAAATCTACGGCCACATCCATGAAGGTCCACGGTCCCTTGAGAAGCAGCCATTTGGTCCTGGTCCTGATAGGGGTCTGGGTTGTTTTCTCAGGTGACAATATGTTAAGGAGTCCCAGAATGTGCCTTCAAAGGCATCCGCACTGCCTGTTAATCAGCTCACCTCACACTCACAGTCAGGAGGATCTGGAAATGAGGAAAAGGCCACTCACTCCTGTCCTTTGTCACAGGTAAAAGTCAGGAACGATGAGCTCCTACATGGAGACCACACTGTGAGGTGTCTTATTTCATCTTCATGTGTCTCTTCTCCCAAAGACATCCAAAAACTCCACTGTGAGAGTCTCAGAGCGGAGACTTAAACAAGGTCTTCAGCGCCCGCAGCGCCCCTCAGCCTTCACTGCTGGAAGGTGGATGGAGAGCATCAGTTTTAAAGCACAAACACCCTCCACAGGGAAAATCAGCCATCTTCCCTCCCTGACCTTTTTTTAAAAGGCATTGTGTTTTGAAGAGACCAATCCAGTTATCTTTCAGAATATCCCACAATATTAATTTTAAAAAGTATTTCCTTATGATATCTTCTAACGTATTCATCCTTTCCCAACAGGTTTCTTTACAGAAGTACCTCTGCACAAAATGTTACTGCACAAAATGCCTCTCCAAGTGTATACCTTTTAGGAGCCTCTGCTCTCTTCACAATAATCTTTTCTTTGGGAACTGTCCTCATCTCCAAACAGAAAACACACACACATATACACAAGCCTATAGAGTCATATTTCAACTATGTAACCCCACCTTTGGGGCTAGCCCATTAGAAACACTTCCTTGAAGATGAATGCAGATATAAGTGGTTACAGAACTTTGGACAGTTTTATGGAAGAAGATGAGAAAAAACAGGATTAAATATCTATTGTTTATAGGTGAGTTTGAAAGTGATACAGTTATTGTAGTTATAATAACTATACCGGAGGGAACAGGCAAGAGAATTGTGTTGAGTTAGGTCCTAGAGGAGATACAACCAAGATGACACACTAAAGTCAAGTCAGCTGGACAATACCAGAGCAAGTACAGGTCTGGCTTAGCTGTTGGTCTGATGGAAGGTTATCTCCTATTGTTACCATAAAACTTTAGGAAGAATTGTTTTTGCACAGTGCATTATTTATGCAGGCTCAGAAAAAAATCCTGGGCTAGAAAAAAAGTGGAAAATAAAACTCTTACCATTTGTAACTGAACGGATGGACCTGGAGAGTATTATGCTGAGTGAAATAAGCCAGTCAGAGAAAGGTAAGTATCACATGATCTCACTCATACGTGGAATCTAATGAACCAAATGGATGATCAAAAATAGATCCAGAGTCATAGAAGCAAGAACAGACTGCTGAACCTCAGAGGGGGTTAAATAGGAAGAGATCAACCAGTGAACTTATATGTATAACCTGTGGACACAGACAATTGGGGTGGGGGGGCGGTTTGAAGGTCCGGGGAAGGTAGGAAGGTGGGAGGGACAGGAACTGGCTGGGAGAGGTTAATGGGGGGAAAAGGATGACTATGTAATACTTTCAACAATAAAGAAACGCAGTGTCTGTAAAAGCATGTGGCAGAGATATTCTTACTCCCTATGACCAGAGAAAACTAGATGGAGCAGTAGCAACAGCAGAGCCCAAAATGTGCACAGGTGATACCCCAGGTGGCACAAAGGTGAAGAACACTTGGAGAATCACCTCTGCAAGCATGTTGCATAAACCTAATTCATTCCATAACAAGAGGAGCTGAAATCAGCCTCTGTGTTAAAGACTTAAAATGCCACTCGCAGAAGATGTGGGAAACTGGCACTCCATGGACTCTCCCTCAAAGCAGCACACCCAGCCCAGAAACACCAGGCTCTGTGGAGGATTAGACGGGAACCCACATCCCTTACCCTGTGGTCTCATGTAAAAGAATTTCTATTGGACTAACACTCCAGGACTCTATCCCCTATTAGGGTTAAAAGGGAAGAGTTAAAAACAAAACCAACAAAGATGGACAATGTTGTCATTTATGGAGGAACAAAGGGAGTATAAGTATGTTTATGGGAGGAAATTACTTCAATTCAGAACACAAAATTTGAGACAGTTATGTATGAGATAGATTAAATATGCTATGTGCAATCATAAGCTGAAATCTTAAACAGTGGCTTAACACCATAAATGTTTATTTTTCACTTAAGTTGCGTGTCATTTATAGCTTGATAGAAGTTGCTGAATTAGGGGAGCGGGTGGGTAGTCTCTTTTCCACATAGTCACTCAGGGACCCAGGCTGGTGAAGGCTCTACCATCTATAATAGAACAGCATTCGCCAACCGGTGGTCCATGAAATCTGAAAGGTTGGCGACTGCTGGTCTAGAATGTCAATTGTTGTGACAGAAAAAGGAGGTGACTGGAGAAGTCTTGTATCAGTTCTGCTATGCTTAAGTCTAAGGTGCACTTTCACTCACTGTCCATTGGCCAAAACTAGTCACTAGGTCTCAATCAAGTGTAAGTGGGGTTGGGAAACATGGGGCAGTAGATGGGATGCTTGGTGAGCATCACTCTTTCTGCCACAATACCCAGGTTGGAATATCAGGCAGGTATGAATATTGTGCACTTCCATTTACAAGTCATAAGCAGATAGGTGGCATTTAAAGCCACCCTCACTTTCTCATCATCGGACTTCCAGTGGACTAATAAGGGCAATGTTATCTTTTTTTCTGGTTTGAAGGAATAGGAAATCCAGATTGATGGATATTCTTAAAACTTCCCTGTAGTGAAACTGGCAGCGCACAGATTTTTTCACTAGCTCACAAGACAAGACTGGCTTAGGATTGAAGGCAGTTTTTGAACCTTTCTGAGAGGAAGGACTTAGTCCTGGAAACCTCTGCCTAGAAATAGCCTGGTGCTCAGACCAGAGGAGTGAGGCTCAAAGGTGAGAAGAGACAAGTGACACTATCTGCAAAGATATTGAGGAGGAAAATCACAAAAGAAAAGGCAGTTTTCTGTGGTAGGTAACAAAACTCATGCCCATGGTTACCACTAGATGTCACTAGTAGGGAAGGAAAGAATGAAAGTTAGGAAGAAAGTGCCTCCAAATGCCTTAGGTGGACCTTGTGGGAGCTGATCCTACACTGGCTGGAACTGTTGTAATGGGGGAAAAGGGGGAAGGAAGAGGGGGGAAAAGAAATGTAAAATGACAGCATGAATCATTAATTTTATTCTGAACTGTAATGACTTTCAAATGGACTTCACGGGCTCCTGCTCTTAATTCATGAGCATGCCTACACTGCATGTGTTTGTGTGCATGTGTTTGTATAAGTGAGTCTCAGAAGGGGAGAAAGGTAGTTTTTAGCCTACAGTTTTCAAAGCATTTTATCCTTTTCATGACTACTCACATTATTTCTTTCAGTGGAGGTTTAAAAAAAAAATCCCATTTCTCTCTCATTCTTGTATATGTATATATTCATGTATATCTACTGAGGTCTTCAGTTTATTCAAAATCAGATTTAAGGTCAGTGGATCTAAGATGTGCCTTATCTTAATGTCCAGCTTATGCCAAAGGAAAAAATAACTTTTCATTAGAAAAAGCAAACCTTACTTAGTCCTTCAGTGACACCAACTGAGGACTACTTACATATTCCACGTGTCAATAAAATAATTTGGGATTGCTAACAGATAATGTAAATTATAATAAATCCAAATATATTTTATTATCACTTTGGTATAGCAATTCTTCAAAACTATATGTTTAATTTGTGCTTGAATCAATGAAACCAAAGATCAAACTGGAAATTCTCCCATAAAATACAACTATCACCCTAAAGCTATACTAAACATAATAAAATCTGAAGAAACTGACATTGTAAGCAAACTCATTATTCTGGGCTTCTCAATCTTTTACATGTTTTGGCTCAGAGGAAAAAAAAAAGTCATTTGCATAGCATTCTGGGATAAATGGAAAAGGCTTCTGGGTTTCAGCAGACCAAGGCCCTATTGGCAACTCAAGGATCTGCGATCAGTGTATCAGGATATTACACATAGATTGTGGTTTTCAACCTGACTACTGGAATCACCTGGGAAGTTAGAAAAAATGTATCCTTCTCCCCCTCAAGATTTTTACTTCGTTGGTCTGGGCATCAGGACTTTTTCATATCCCGAGGTGATTCTAATAAGTTTAGCCGGAGTTAAGAACCACTGCATTAGAAGACAGTCAAGGACGCTTTAAAAAAGCACACACACACAAAAAACTATCCCAGCATCTAGCTCCCACTTTTGAACACAAGTATAAGGTCGTTGTTGCTTTTTCAATTCGGAAAAGTATAAAGAGAAAAAACAAAGTTGCAGAGTTCAAAATATGAAAGTGAAAATCTTTCCTCATTCCTCAAAAAAAACCCAGTTATTTTATTTTTTAAGAAAAAGCTTATGTACATACCTACGTATTTGTATCTCGAGAAACAATTTCTTCCACTAAAGAGGGTACACATAGTATTCTATGGCTACAAGCAATTCACCTGTCTCCACTGTTTATTTCCTGTGACCATTCCGTTGCTGGTGATCATTTAGCTATTCTCATTCTTCCTTGCAATAAAGCATCTTTATCAAGGGATTCCATGCATTGTGACTAAAAGTTTGCAAATGTTTTTACAGGGGCAATAATCCCTAGAAGTGAGATCGCTGGGTGCATTTTAAATGTGGATAAATGTGGGTGAGATAAACAAAATAAAGGGATGCCACCTACGTTTGTGAGACATAAGATTACCAGGACTTGGCTCCCAGGTCCCGGCAGAGGGCTGGGCCGCAGCCGCTATGCAGTGAACCGGAGGCGGGCGCGCCGGGTCACGTGGGCGGCTGGCCCCGCCCCCGGACGCCCGGCCGGCGGCCGGCGCCCCGGCTCTCGCAGTAGTTTCTCGCGGGGCCCGCGGCGGCCGCTCTCGCCGGGGAGAAGCGGGGACCAGAAGGTAAATTCCGTTCCGGCCGCGGAGTCTGGTGGCCGGGCGTGGGGCGGGGCGGGCATCCCGGGGCCGCTGCTTCCGGCTGGGAGGCGGGCCTGGGCTCGGACTTCCGGCGGCGTCGGCGGCGTCGGCTGCCCGGAGCTGGGAGGGGTGCTGTCCAGTGGCCTTTACTCCCCTCCTCCCCGCGGCCGTTCTGCGGACCGCGGTCTCCCCGGGCGCGCCGGTTAACCATTAACCCCGGGGCAGCTCCTGCCAGGCCCGGGGAGGCCCACACGCCGGGTTCACCCGGAGCCCGCGCCGCCGCCTCCGTGGGCTGGCGGCCGGCTGTCCCCGCTTCCCCCGCCTTGTGAGCCCCAGGCGGTGGGTCCGCCTCGGCTTCTGCTCGTCCACCTCCGGTGGACCCCGCCGGGACTGCAGACATTTACTAAAATGTCCCATAGCGTGAAGGCCTGTGCCCGGAGCGGGCGGAGCCGGAGCACGGCCGGGCCCCGCGCAGAACACCGGCTGCCCTTCCTGCGGCGCCGGGGCCCCTGGCCTCGCCGAGGCGGGATTCACCGGTGATCCCCTCTCTCATGTCCCAGGGGGCTCCCCTGGCGATCTCCCCTCCGACATCCCAGGGGCTCCCCTGGCGATCTCCCCTCTCTCATGTCCCAGGGGCTCCCCTGGCGATCTCCCCTCCGACATCCCAGGGGCTCCCCTGGCGATCTCCCCTCCGATATCCCAGGGGCTCCCCTGGCGATCTCCCCTCTCTCAAGTCCCAGGGGCTCCCCTGGCGATCTCCCCTCCGACATCCCAGGGGCTCCCCTGGCGAACTTCCTTCCAATATCCCAGGGGGCTCACCTGGTGATCTCCTAATATCCCAGGCCCTGGTAGCCGATTCCATAACGGCGGTGCGACTTCATTAAATTATTGGGGGAAATTATTTATTTTAAACATTTGTTGGCAACAACTCTTACACATTAGCGTTCTTAAATAAATAAATAAATAAGGAGGGCCGCCATCTGTCGTGATACATATGGTGAGAGAGATTTTTACTGTGTTAAACGGTTTGGTACCTTTCAGATTGTTTACTTGCAGGCCACGTGTTTTTATAAACCTTACCTGGCTGCCTGGTATGAAAAGGTAATGTTTATATTTGCAGATTCACAAGGATGTGGGTAAGGTTTATATTTCCACGTTCACAAATGTAGACTCATAGGATCTGGGTTTGAATCCTGACTGCCCCTTTGTGAGTTTGAGGAAGCTTTTGTTTAAAAAGAGCCCTTTGCCCTTGGTTCTCTGGTCTGGAACAGTGTATCGCTGGGTTTTGTGGAGATTAATGAAGTCACATACGCCCAGAGCCCAACCATTGGCACGCCCTGAAAGATCACTAGTTTCATCTATTATTCTGCCATCCACAGAGATGGCACAAAGATATTTCTCTTCTCTGAACCTAAAAGCAGAGGTGACACCTGGAGCTATGTATTCTGACACTATGTAGACCATGTCTCCAGACTTAGTAAAAGCATTGTGCTCAGTGCTCGAGAGGAATAACAAATTCCTTTAATCTCGTGTCTCTTTTGGTCTCCAGTGTCTTATAGAAACTGAATTACTGTCTATTTTTAATGTAATCTGAATGGATTCCTTATGCTGGAAAGGTAGCTAATAGACACTGGGACCCATTTAGCTAATTTGTGATTTTATGTGGTATCAACACCTTTACAAACCCAATTTTAGGCACGAGTCAAAAAAAGAAATATTTCCCAAAGAGTGAACTGTGGAACAAAATGGCTACTTTTTTTCAGAAAGACGTCTTCCTCATCTATCCTGCAAACTGCGTAACCTGTTTAACTTTTCACTTTCTTTTTATCCAGTTAAGATTCTACTATCTTAAAGTTGATTCAAAGTAGAGGAAATGTGTGGAAGCATCTGAATAGTGCATCAAAGTAATAGTAGTTAAGGTGAATACATTGACTCTTAAGCTGTTCTCTGAAGGGACCAACTATATTCACAATATGGTTAATAATAATATGGGTGTTAATTATAGTCACCAGATATCATAAATAAATAAATAAATAAAGAGCCATTTATGATGCATATAGGGAAGAATTATTTGAAGGATGAGATAATAGTTTCCTAAGCAAAATGAAAGACTATGATCATAGTTCTCAGAAACCTTTATCATTAGCCCCAGCTTTCTCTGTTCATTTCTTATCAGCCCCTGGAAAGTTCACTACAGTTACTTTTTTTTTTTTTTTTTTTTAATTGAGGGCAAAATCCTGCAAAGACTGCATGTTCTAAGGGTCTGAAACTTGAGGGAGGATTGTATTTGGCTCTCATTTATTTGGGAATGGGAGAGAACTTATTTAACCTTTGATGCTACTCCACATCTCATGTGTTTTGTTACTTGCTTGATACTAGTATTTCCTTTCTAACTTTTGCCTGGAAAAAGAAATAGAACTATTTATTAATTTCCTCCCCTAATGCCACGTTTTGAAATAAGCTGTATGAAATTCTCAAATAGTCCATTCATGATCTATGCATAGGCACATTCTCTAAGGATAGAAAGTGCCATTTTATCCCATTTTTCTTAGATTTTGAATTAGTTGGGTCATAATTATAAAGTAGGATACAATGTAAAACTTGAAAAAGAATAATTTTAAATATAAGACTAAATGTAATACTTTGAGATGTTTAAGAACATTTGTATTTACCATCTCCTTGCTTTTCTTTATAAATTTACTCTTTATACAGTGTCCATGAATGTTTTTGGTTTTGCCTGTTTTTGCATTTGATAAAAATATTTTTTCCACTTAAAGTTATATTTTTTAAATTCAACTTGACATAGCCATACTTCTGCTACATTCTGTTGACTGAATAATAATAATAATAAATTATCCATTTCACTGTTGATTGATTTTGAGTTGTTTCCTGCCCAATTTTGCTATTGTAACCTTTCTTGTGCATGTCCCCTGGTGTACCTCTGAATGTTTCTCTATAATACACAGAAAGTGGGATTATTGGGTCATGAATATGTTCAGCTTTACTAGGTAATGCCAAGCTGTGGGAGCACTAATTGATGTCATCACACTATCAGTTAGTTGCTCTGTATCCTTGCCAATACTTGGTATGATTTTTTTGCCAGTTTATTGGGTAGAAAATAGTATCACATATGTTACTTTGCTTTTCACTTCTTTTAAATTTTTCTACTAGTAAAGTGAAGCATCTTTTTGTGTGATTAAAAGCCATTCAGATTTTCTCATCTGTGAAATGTTTGTTCTATATTTTGCCCATTTTTCTATGATTATTTGGCATTTTCTTTCTGAAATATAGTTCATATATTCTGAATCTTAATCCTTTGTTGGTGAAATGTGTTGCAAATTCCATGTTTCTTGCTTTTTCTTCAGCCTGTTTCCCCCCTTTCAGTTCATCTTTCTGTTTCCATTTTTCTTATCATTATTGCCCTTCTGTCCTGTCACAAAATATGATAAAGGGCTGCATGTTCGCCCAACACTGTGGAAGTAATTACTACCACATGAGCAACTTGTGTACTTTGGGTAGCTTCCAAACTGTTTAGAGATGTAGTATTCAGAAAATCATGGCTTTTAAAAAAAACAAAAAACAACAACTGTATTTTTTTTTGCTTTTATTATGACGAAATAATTTTTCAAAAATAGCATAGGTGCTTTTCCCATCCTTTAAAAAAGGAACTAGGTTAATTAGAGCAAAGCTTAACAACGCTAATGTCAGAGCACAAATCTGACATGTTTGTAATTCCCTAAACTTGATTTGTGTAATAATGCTTTCCTTTATACTTTGAACTTAAAGCTCCTGCTTCTTCACACACACACACACACACACACACACACACACACACACACACACCTCATCCTATACTTCAATTTTGGAGCTCAGGCTCTAATATCTACCTTCCTTATGGCACAGAACTAACTTCAAAATAGTGGTGTATAAATCCTTTCTATCTAAAGCTCATTTCTACACATTCACATAGATATTTTACCTCTTAATCATTTCTGTTTTATGAACTTTTTTTTAATTGACCCTCACCAGAGGATATGTTTTTATTGATTTATTTTTATTTTTTTAGAGAGGGAGAGACATCGATATACACTTGCCTCCCATGTACTCCCCAGGGATCAAAATCCAAAACCTAAGTATGTGTCCTGAGGGGGAATCAAACCCACAACCTTTTGGTATCTGGGATGACACTTCAACCAACTGAGCCACCCAGCCAGGACTGAATTTATTATTTAAATGAGCTATCCTTTCATTTGCAAGTTGATGAGAGAGTAAATCTTAAAAATTGTCATTACTAGAGAGAAAAAATTCCATAACTATGTATACTGCTGGTATTAACTAGACTTATTGCACTGATCATTTCACAATATATATGTCAAATCATGTTGTACACCTTAACCTAACATATTGTATGTCAGTTATACCTCAAAATTTTTAAATAGCTAAATGAGCCAATGCTCTGTTTTTTATTAACATTTTCAAACTTCTAGTCAGCCATATAGGATTAAATAAGTATTTAGAGAAACTACTAGAAGGCCTGAAGACTATGTTCTTAAAATATACAGAAGGTGTCCTTGAAAGGGTTGCTTTCAAAGAAATAGGCTAAATATCCGGGATGAGAAAAAAATCTATTTATAATACCTGCAAATGCTTCCAAATCTTTGTTTGGCAATATGAGTTTATATACTGCTGTAAATTAACTGAAGAGAAGTCATCTCTTTGAATGCCCAAATGAGGCAGGAGAAACTAATGACAATTTCTTAATTTAAGAAAGAAAAAAGTGTTCATTCACACCCATCTGCTAGAATAGTCTGGTTGCTCTGTAAGAGCTGGCTGTCCATGCCAGGCAAAACCAAGTGAACCGACCCAGTAATTTCACTTCTGGGGATTTATCCAAAGAAACACAAAACACAAATTTGAAAGAACATATGCACCCCTATGTTCACTGCAGCGTTATTTATAATAGCCAACCTATGAAAGCATCCCAAGTGCCCATCAATAGGGCAGTAGATAAAAAAGCTGTGGTTCATATCTACAATGGAATATTACTCAGCCATAAAAAAGAATGAAATCTTACCATTTGAGACAGCATGGATGGATCTAGAGGGTATTATGCTTAGTGAAATAAGTCCATCAGACTTATACTATATGATTTCACTTAACGTGTGGAATCTAAAGAACAAAATAAATTAACAAACAAACTTGAAACAGACTCATAGACCCAAAGCGAGAACTGGTGTTTGGAAATATAGTGAATAAATATTGTGTACCTATGTATGGTGCCAGTTGAGGTACTGGAAATATTGAGGGAAACACCATGTAAATTATGATTGTCTAACCACTGAGCTATACACCCAACACCAATACATAAAGAAGGGGGGAGAGGGATAATACACCTCAACCCAGAGGTCGAAGACTACCCAGACTATCGTGAAGTCCTAAACTCAACAGGATAGCAACCAAATGTTGTTTAGCATTGAGTTTGTTCGAGAATAAAAGGATAGTGAAACTTTAGTCTTGTGTTTTAAGAGTTCTGAAATATCCACCTTACACACTGAAATGAACCTAATACAAGTCCAGCTTTAAAAGTGAGGAGTCCTCCCTAATTTTGGCAAGCTTTAAAAGTCTGTAACTCAAAATCATTACTGTAATTTAGTATTTTAAAATGTATTATATAGCTACAAAAATGCTTCTATCAGTTTCAGAGAAATCAGACTGCTCTTACAATATGATTATCTCTGAGTTAAGATATAGTCTGACTAGTGAAGGCCACTTACCAATTTTTTTTTTTTCTTTTTCTTTTTGGTTCAGCTAGCATGGATCTTAGTAGCCCTGAACAAGATCCTGAAATGAAGGAAGAATATTCTTCTGTCTATGTTGGCAGAGAAGAGGACATTAAGAAATCTGAAAGAATGACAGCTGTTGTCCATGATAGAGAAGTGGTCATTTTCTATCACAAAGGAGAATATCATGCTATGGATATTCGCTGTTACCGTAAGATTTTATTTTTTATTTGTAAATCTTGTATTTGTTTGCTAACAACAAAACTATCAAAATTTCCAGTGACTAGATTTAATACTCAATTTCTTTTCAGACTCAGGAGGACCTTTACATTTGGGAGAAATAGAGGTATGTAAGATTAAATCTAGTCTCAAAAAAACTCAAATGTTTTCTATTTATATTCTTATTTCATTCTGTAGTAAAAAGTAATTTACATTTGTCTTTGCACTATATTTTAATGCTTCTAGTATAATCACTAATATTTTAGGAATTTTCAGCCCTACAATGTAAAGAAAACCATTTCACAGATAAATGTGAGAACTATGTATGTTTTCTGACCTAGCAATTGCACTCTGAGATATTTACCCTACAGATATAATTGCACAAATGTTTAAATGTATATAGATGGTCATTGTAGCATTAGTTATTGTAATTAAAAATGATGACAACCTAAATGTTTTAACAATAGGAAACAGTTTAAATAAATTACGAATAGCCATGCTGTGGAATACTATGTTTTTCTATTTCATGAAACCGATAGCCCGCACAGTCTCTCCCTCTCTCTCTCTCTTTCTCTCTCTCTCTCCCTCTAACTAGTACAAAGTATAATCTTAAACATAGTGTTCTACTCTCTCTACACTTCATATATACCTAGTTCCCCACCTGCCCTCATGTCCTCATGTAAAAGGACATGTGTATTAAAATTATGTTAATTTATAATTTATGAAAATATGAATCTTTTCTAACAGTTTTCTGGGGATATAATGTCAGTATTCCAGCACTTATAGTGTTTAAAAAAATGTAAGCACCTGGTGCTGATAAATGTGGAAGAATTTCTCCCAATTTCAGACCATGACAGACCTAGAGAACTGTAAGACCTTGCTACTTAAAGTATGTTCCATAGACCAAAGTATGTTCCATGTGTCACTTGGAAGCTTCTTGGAAATGCAGTATCTTGCGCCCACCCTAGGCCTATTGACTTTAAACAGAATGTTGGTGACTCCTGTGCTCTTTTAAATTTGAGAAGCACTGTTTTAATACAATTAAGAAATTGAGAATTGACTACTTTGGATCATAAATTGTTCTTCAATTAATATATGCACTCAAGCTTTTAGTAACCTCTCTTGAATTATATCTGAAGCTTACCATTCTTCCAGAGTTAGTGAAAAATTCCTTAAGAAGCATCTGAAGCCATTGCCTCATTTCTGTCAAGGAAGTAACACTGACATCTAATATAGTTTTCTCATTTATCTGCAGCAATAGGTATAGTCGCTGAGCTAGTAATCTCTGGCAGAGCTCTAACACACTGGGATTCTCATCAACAGCAAAAGGGATGATGTGATGACTGCTAAGATTAGATCCTGTCTGATACTAATTTCTAAATGGGAAGGAAAAAGAAAAGTCGTCTTGTTCTTTAACCTGGTTCTTCTGCAATAGATTTCGTTCTGAGTCTGAGGTTTATTGTGAACATTGGAAATAGCAAACTATTCAATCAATTATTTCCTTCCCTAGGATTTTGATGGACGACCATGTGTAGTTTGCCCCTGGCATAAATTCAAAATTACTTTGGCAACAGGAGAAGGACTATATCAATCTATAAATCCTAAAGACCCATCAGCAAAACCCAAGTGGTGTTCCAAAGGAATAAAGCAAAGGATTCATACAGTGACAGTGGACAATGGGAAAATTTATGTGACTCTTTCTAATGAACCTGTTAAGTATGACTCTGATTTTTATGCCACTGGAAACTTCAAAGTAATTAAGACTCCTTCCTGATAAAATCATATGGCAATGAAAAGTATAAATGTTTTAAAAATAACCTTGCTTCAATACCAAAGATGATTTTTTTTTCCAACATAGGCACATTACTTATCTTTAAAAGTCATACAGTTCTTGATAGGTTCAATAGCACAAGTACTGAGTATGAAGACTATAAAATGCATAGGTCTGGAATGTGCACTTAAAGAAGGATGAAGGTAATTTGAACTAAAATGAAGAAAATGTATACAATCAGATCTATTAAGGAAAATTGGGAGGGGGGCTCCTTATTTGATGTAGCAGATTTTATTTATCATGGAAAAGTTGAATTTATACAAAGTATACAGAATTATATAATAAACTCTCATCACCCAACTTCAGCAATTTCAGCAGTCTTCCATTCTTGTTTCATTGATACCTCCACATATTTCCTACCTCTCCTATTTGGTTGTTGTTACTACTTTTTAAGGTAAAATTTAAATACATTGGAATGCTTAAATATTAACTTCTGTCTTTTCAAATATGTAAATAGCAGACTTTTTTATACTTAAAAATTGCCTCCAGAAATGCTGAATTTAAAAATAAGAAACTTATCAATGTGCTAGACATCAAAGCCACGTAAGTCTTGGCTCAGTTTCTCTGGTCAAGACAGATAATCTCAACATAGGAAGACACAGCTGCTGCCGGCCATGGGAGATGTGACGTCTCCTATTCGGTGAGCTAAAGTACTTTGAATGCCTATATGCAATTTTCAAATAATTGTTTTTATTTTTGGAGAACTTTGTGCATGTATGTACAACTAAGTGTTTCATGTAAATGTTACAGAGGGAAGAAATGTAGGATATTGTTCCTCAGAATCCTTTCTGCTAAGTTGATGTTAAATGGCTTACCCTGCCAGTTATTTTTGGCCAATGCTGTTCTGGTTGCCTGATTCCCGAGGTGCTGGTGATCTAAAACTTGACAGCACATAGAATATATTACACTAGAGGCCCAGTACATGAAATTTGTGCACGGGGGTGTGGTGGTGGGGTGTTCCCCAGCCTGCACCCTCTCCAATGTGGGACCCCTTGAGGGATGTTCAACCGCTTGTTTAGGCCCCATCCCACTGAGATCAGGCCTAAATGGGTGGTTGGACATCCCTCTCACAATCCAGAACTGCTGACTCCCAACTGTCCTCCTCTGCAGGCGTGATCCCCCCAACTGCCCTCCCCTGCTGGCCTGGTCCCCCTCCCCCAAATTGATCTCCCTTGCAGGCCTGGGTCCCCCCAACTGCCCTCCCCTACATGCCTGGGTCCCCCTCCCCCCAAATGCCCTCTCTTGCTGGCCTGGTTTCCCCCAACTGCCCTCTGTTAGCCTCGTCACCCCCAACTTCCCACAACTGCCTTTCCCTGCAGGCCATCTTGTGTCCATATGGAGGCAGCCATCTTTGACCACATTGGGGGCAGCCATCTTGTGTCTTGGTGTGATGGTCAATTTGCATATTACTCTGTTGTTAGATAAGATTTCCTTTTCTGGTGGAATATGGGTAGCATGAGGTAATACAACACTTGCTACTCATTTCTCAGACACTACTAAAAAGCCAGGCTTGAGCTTTATATAAATATTGTTTATGGCAGTAGCTACTCACCAGGTATAGGAATTGTACCACCTCTAGGATGGACATATCCCAGCTTATTATATCAGATGCCAGTCCTCCAATGACCAGGCACATTTTTAATTTTAGTGCATAGAACAAACCAAAGTACCTCCTACAGGCAAAGCCACGGCTCTAGTTTGCAGGCTCACTTACAGAGCATTCCCTCTCAGGATCCAGTGGCCACAATGAGTAATATGGACTTGATTTCTGGTTTTAGATGTGTTACTCTAATCTGAAAATAAAAAATGTCATGTCAAGTCCTGTCCTCATATACAGAAATCTTCTCATCAGATTTGTAAATAACATTCTGTTTTATAATAAATTCCTGATATCTATGAATTGCAAAATATTCATACTTTACCAGATGAGTTACAAAAGAAGTGAAATAGGCAGACTCAAACTATCCAGCCTGTAGATAGAAAACAAACATTCTTTGAAAAATGTCTCTAAAAAAAAAAGTGTAGCATTTTGATAGAGAAGGTTTTTTTCCTTCCCAGAAAAATAATTAGAAAGATTAAAACAAGTCTTTAATAAAAACATAAATGTATTGTGCATACTCCTATATTATAAACCAAAGCATAAAGTCTAACCCACCAAAGGGTAAATTTTCATATTCATTAAAAAATAATCAGATAGTCATAAATATATTCTACACCAAGATTCATTTTGTTTTCTCTACCATATAAACACTTGAGAATGACATTTTACTAGTTCCTCCCCACTCTTCTTAAAAGCAGAGTAGTCAGTATATGAAAACTAGTTTCCTGGTTTTGTCAGATGAAATGTTATTACATAGATAAATCTTAAGCTGTTCAAGTGATATTCATGTTCAGATTAGTTCATTCATTTATTTCAGTTGATTCGTCAAACACAGAATGTAAAACTTGGATCTTATTACTCAGCATATCATCAGGAAAATCAGAAATATTGTTTGGCTGATCCAGTAATGAAAAATAAGTTTTTGCTTTGATTTCATCTTTGGGAAACATAGGTTCAGAAAGTGCAGGCTCAGAAAAGGCTTTTCTAAGATGTTTGCTCTCCTCTTTGTTTTGCCTTATAGATTCTTCTTCTTGGAAAATTTTCTTTACCTTCTCCAGAACAGCATTAACACAGACTGTCTAATAATGAAAAAATATTGAAAAGTAAAGTTTCTTTTTAAGTTACTAAACTTGTTTCTATTACCTGCTTAGAAAGCTGATAGCATGACAAATCATGTAAGATTATTTCAAAAGCCTTTGGGACATTACAGTTTAATTTTGGTTTTAGGCTTTTTTTTTTTCTTTTTTTTGTTTTTGTTCAACATAGCTATTTCATCCAACCCATTTTTTGCAGTGTATTTGTATTCTAGCTGAATTTTTGTATTCTATCTGAAATTCACATTAAAAATATTGAATACATCTCAAAAATTTAAAACATTTTCAAAATATTTATTTGATAAACTCTGTTCTTTAAAAAAACACACACCTGTATATGTGTTTAAAATCAAGTTCTTTATTTTTTAAGAAAGTTTTCTTGGGTATTCTTGACTCTTTGTAATTCCCTATAAATTTTTTAATTAACTATTCAACTTACACATACCTGCTCATATTTGAATTGGGACTGCACTGAGTCTAGATTATGGGGAATTTTTGTCTTTATTACTGTGTGTTTCAATATGATAAAAATATTAACATAAATGTGCAAGACATCTAACAAAAAAGCCATAAAATATTAAGATAAATTAAAGAAGACCTAAATAAATAAATTAAAGAAGACCTAATAGAGATGCCATGATCACAGACTGAAAGGGGGACTTATTCTGCCAATTATTAAGACTTATTATAAAGCTTCTGTAAATCACAGTGTTGAATTGGTACAAAAGAGAAATAGATCAACTGTATAGAATTGAGAGTCTATAAATATACCTACATATGTAAGTTCACTTGATTAAGAACACAACAAGTGTTCTTGGGCAATAGTAAAAGGGTGTTTTTTCACCAAGAAAGTGAGTCTGTTCAATTAGATATCCATGGAGAAAAAAATTGTTTCTTACTTAATACCATTTCCTAAAAGTGATAAAGCTCCTAGATTGCATCAGAAGTAAGAGTTTTATGACCTTGGTTTAGGTAAAAATTTCCCAATTAATATATTTAAATCTCTTAACATAATGGAAAAAGTTAATAAACCAAATTATATTACAATTAAGAACTTCCATTTTAAAACACACTGATAAAACAGGAAAAGGTAAGTCCTAGAATAAAATAAATTTGCCCATATATAACCAAAAGAGGGCTTGTTCTTAATATATTTTTCAAGTACAAATCAAAAATAAAAAGGATGGGTAATTCCCAATAGAAAAATAAGAAGATACTTTAACAAAAATTAACAAAAGGGATATTTAATTTTGCTTAACTTACCAAATAAATTAGTGCTGCATATGAAGCATACATTATGCTAGTTAAAGCAGTCTTTGCTGGAAAGGAAATGATATCAAACAAAGAACCCTTTCTGATCTGCAAAAACAGAAGAGAGTTTTCTTGTTAAAACAAGTTTTCAATGTCACAATGTTAAATTTTACAGTGTTATTGAAAAATGAGAATTTATGTATTTTTCCCCCCCCAAATAAAGTCATCCACTTTAGATCTACCTGGGTTCTCTCACATTCTAAAAATATATTAGTTTCTTTTTTTTTTTTTTTTCCTTTTGTAAAAAGATATTTTCTTTTGCTCACCCAAAGAAACGTATCGATTTTAGAAACCTAGCCCTGGGCCAGGGGTGTGGCTCAGCTGGTCACAGCCTCTTTCCTTGTACCAGAATCAACGTTTCTCTCTGTTTCTCTTCCTCCCTCTCTCCCTTCCTCCCACCCTCCTGTTGTCCCTCCCTCCTTAAGATCAAATAATAAAAAATAAAAACCTTAACTTTTTTTCCAACATACACCAAGTGTTCACTAGGGGGTGCTGCCATGCATGTTAGAATAACTTTTATGTAATCATCCTTTACTACATTATTCATTTCTTCAATTTAGCAAACAGTAATCGAAACACTGAACATTTCCTAGAGATTAATGACCTGGTTGGAAACGTTAATCATAAGTCTGCTGAAGGCCAGCCTTATTCCTAGATGATCATTAAGCTTTAGGAAATGCTCTGTGCTCACATCCAGCATGCTTTTTGAAACTAAGAGAAAGTTTACATCAGTAATGGGTTTGTCTCTCAGATGTTTCCACCTTCTGGTAATAGAAGGTGTCCCTGCCTAAAACAATAATAATACATATTTGATTCAAGGGAGCTGTACTTTCATAGTCCACTTCTATTGCCTTGAGTGGGAGTGGGATATAAAATGAGGACATTAGGAAAACCATTCCCTTCCCAATCAGCAGCACCATGGCCTCTGAAGTTACAGCTGAGCTACTTGATGGCTTCAATAACTCCCAAAAGGTACAGGCTGTAGTGGATAAAATAATGCACACAAACTATCATACAAGGAACAGATATTTACAACATTGGAAAACTGGAACAATTAATGATAGAATGATTAGGTAAATTACACTACCTCTACTCAATGGTATATTGCAGCCCTTTCAAATGTGTTTTCGTGGCACCAGGTACCAGGTCCTGTTCTAAGTACTTGTTATAGTAAACTCTCTTTTTTCTTACTGCTGCCACTGCTGAATAGTGAACAAAACTGCCATCTTATTTCTTAAGAGATTTATGGAATGCTGAAGCAAAAATACTCTCTAGCCTAGTAGCTAAGAGATGGCTGGCGAGGGGAGGCCCTTCTTATTCCCTACCTTTCAGGCCATCCAACTCTTCGACATACTGTTAGGTAGGGGCAGTTTTAGCCCCCTCATTCTATGTGTCATTCTGGAAAGTTTCCCAATGTTCCTGGCTTCTGAAAAGATTTTCCAGGAAATAAAGCACCTGTTGCTATTTTCTTTTTGTGGAAGAATCAAAACGATAGCATGCCTTTGAATTCCACTGTGAGGCTACAAGGAGATGTTATACTAATAGAGAGCAGATGCTGACATTAGGAAGGAAAGCAGATACACTCTAACAAAATGCCTCCTAGCAGAATAAAAGATTATGAGTTTGTGAATATATAAATGCAAGTGAGAGGTTCGTATTTAATAACTGGTAAGCCATATGCAGTAAAAATAGAAGTGTCTGGCCGAAACCGGTTTGGCTCAGTGGATAGAGCATCGGCCTGCGGACTGAAAGATCCCAGGTTCGATTCCAATCAAGGGCATATTCCTTGGTTGTGGGCACATCCCCAGTAGGGGGTGTGCAAGAGGCAGCTGATCAATGATTTCTCTCTCATCGATGTTTCTAACTCTATCCCTCTCTCTTCCTCTCTGTAAAAAATCAATAAAATATACTTTAAGAAAAATAGAAGTGTCTGAATGCATAAGTCACTCTTTGAATGCATCTTTTAGATTTTGTCCTTCACCTAAAGGTAATTAAAACAGATTAGTTTCAAAATAAATTATGTATTTGATACACATTGTGCTTCTGAATGATGAATCTGTATATTGCCTAAGGGTCAGTTTTTCACCATTTTAATGTTTTTAATAAATACTTGCTATTCCTTTGACAAATCATCCTTGTAGAAAATACATTTCCTCCAAAATTCATGGCTACAGACAAGTGGCCATTCTCCAATTTTATGACTCACTTGTAATACATGTTTTTCATAATATAACCTACCCTGTTTCATCTTTGGCATGCTATGAGCAGGAATAGTGTATGGTAAGACTGAGATAAAGAGAAATTTGGTAAATTGAAGCATTTATTTAGATGGTCTTGGCCTATTTCAGAAATTTTATCTTAACTTGTTAATTTTATGTTTTTGCATATTTACAAGTATTTCATATCAACATTATGTCCATATATTTACTTTTTTAATTTGGAAATATTACTACATAAGATATATGGATGCTTCAACAGTAAAAACATTTCAATATTTAAATTTCCTCCACATAATTTTGACTGCTTCATCTCATAAAAGAATTGTGTTTATCTTATTTTCACTAGTAATGGGATAAATCACCAAAAAAATGAAACTAACTATAAGCAGTTTAGAAAATAAAGATCCACTTACAGGTAACCTGAAGGTTAGAGTATTACCAGGTCCCACTTAGTTTATGTTGTCCAAAACCATCTTGGTGAGGGATACCAGGGGAATAATAGGGAAAACTAACTCAGTGACTCACGAGTAAGTGTTGAAAGAGATACTGACTACTGTTAATAGGTCCAGAAAAAAAAAGTGTTTCCTATAAGTTTGGGAAAGTTACATGGCCATGTCTTTGCTTAGCAACTCACAATGCTCATGAGCACAGGAAATGATACTAGCTGTCCACAGAGTAAATGAAGTTATTTGACTTTGTTTATTCTAGTATTAATATCCTGTGTTAACACTAGTCTCAAATAAGCTCTTAATTGGGTGGTCCTGTAAAAGTTCAAATATCCCCACCCTCTTGGTCAAACTGGAGAATTATGTCTTCAAGATTTCAGTAGTTCTGCTTTCCAGGAATGGTCCCTTTCCTCAGGTCTTGAATTATACCACCCAAGAGAGCCTCATGGCAGGCTCATCCAAGGACCTACAGAAGTGCCTGCTATTTGTAAGGCTTGTATTTTAAGTGCAAAACTGTAGTCTACACCAGAGGTTTGGGGGTAAGGAGTCAACTTTATTTAGAAAAACTTGACCCTCATCTTGGAAAAAGCACTACTAGTCTCTGGGGTTCACGTGTGGCACAGACCTTTTAGAGGCTGCTTGCTTCCCTTTGCACAAAGTAGAAACAGTTATCTCTAATGCCGGAAGTGCTCCCGGTTCTGTGGCCCTGCTTGGCCTGCCAAAGTCAACAACTATGTCTGGGAGCTGACGTGTCTTGGCCCAAGTCAGCATTCAAAGCTGATTATCTAGGTCACTGCAGCTTAGGGCAGCTTACAGGGCTTAGCAGATGCACCATTCTATGAGTGCTGGTGCTGGGACTGTTGAAAACCATCAGGATATTCTCCACTTGGTTTTCCATTCCTGAGCCCCTTATAGAAACTAGCAGATATATTAGTACAACCTCAGCCCTGCAGAACCTAAAAGGTTTTGAGGAGCAACCTGACTCGGCACCCACAAAGGTGCAAAGCAAGTGCCAGGTGCCAAGGAAGTCTCTTTTAACAAGACGTCCAGCGGGAACCTCCTAACCCAAACTCTCTGTGCTCATGTCACAACATGCCACCAGACTCTTCAGGTCACCTGTATCAGTTGGGTCTTTGGGTAATTCATATTTGGCACAGTATCTTTGAATATGTCATTGGAGATATATAGCCAGTGTCCTAATGAAAAGACTCCTTTATGTTCTTAAGGGAGACAATCTGCCTGACTGGTGTTCCCAGCTACATAATATTCAACAGAGTTTTGGTAGGATCATTCAGGGTTCTCTGGGTACCATCCTCTCATCAGAGATGAGACGGAGCACATGAAGAGGGTCTTTGAATGTACCTAAACATAGGTTAATGAGGCTGTTTCCTACATAAAGTGATGCCCTCCATGCATCCACAAAAGCACATCTTGCAAAGTAATTCCAGATTTCACTCCTTTTACTTCTGTACACCACAAGTTCCACCTTGATACAAGCAGCCTGGAAAATCTTGAAAGAATCCATGTTGGAATTCACTCTGCATAAGCTGAACTCCATCGCATTGGAACGGCAGCCACGCAGTGTACCAGGGCTGGTATAGCTCCTCTGTGCTATGCCACTGACATCTTGACACACTTTGGTACCATCCACCAATCCATTGATCTCCACACCGCCCATGTTATTCTGTTGTTCCTTTGACTCTCCAGGCCATTGTCTTCACTGTTCATACTTCTCTTTTAGTCATGACTGAGACTTTCAGATTTGAGATACAGTATGTTGTTTTCTTCCTTGATGCAACTTAGTTTGCTCTCAGTGGCAATTCTGATTCTACAATCTAGCTAATGCATATTCTCCAAGTAAGGCTTCTTCCTCATTCCTACCCTCAAGGACCCAGGAACCTCTGACTTGGTACTTTCGCACTTCTCTCACTTCAGCCATTTAAAACTACTTACACTTCCTAATTAAGGTATGCTCTTGATTGCTTCAGCATCTTAATATACACCGCTCTCTTCCTGGAATGATTCTCCCTTTGCAAGGCTAATTTCTCCTACTTCAAGTCTCGGGTCAAGTATCACCTTCTGGAAAACCTACATTGACTACTCTTTGGAATGACATGCCCCTTGTTGATGCTTCCATAGTGCACTTTGCACCTTTTGATGATGTAATCGCTACAATCTACTAGCATTGCTCGCTTACCTATAACACCTACAGTTCACAGGCCCAGGACAAGACATCTATGAATGCCTACTACCTAAGCTAATGATTTTACATGTCAGGTTTTCAAAAATATTTGTTGAATGAATGAAAAAGTAGAATTATACTTTACTTACTTCCAAAATCAATTCAACCATCTTATACTGAAATTTATAAAATATATTAAAAAGTAAAGCTGGGTCCTGGCAGGGTAACTCAGTTGGTTAGAGTGTCATCCTGATATGCCAAAGTTGCAGGTTTGATCCCCAGTCAGAGCACATACAAAAATCAACCAATGAATAAGTGAAACAACGTATCTCAATATCCACCCCAACTCAATTCTCTTCCCTTTCTTCTCTCTCTCAAATCAATCAATAAGTTAAAAAAATAATAATAAAACATACCCTGGCTGGTGTTTCTAAGTGGTTATAGCATCAGTCCTCAGACATAAAGTCCTGGGTTTGATTCCTGGTCAAGGGCTTGGGGCCTGAACTGCAATTTCAATCTGCCCAGCTGCTCATGTGGGAGGCAACAAATTGATGTGTCCCTCTCACACTAATGTTTCTTTCCCTCTCTCTCCCTCTCTCTCTCTCTCTCTCTCTCTCTCTCTCTCTCTCTCTCTCTCTCTCTCCTCTCCCCACTTCACTTCCTTCCCTCTCTACCCCTCTCTCTCTTCCTTTCACTCTCTAAAATAATCAACAGAAAAAAATAAAAATATCCGTGGGTGAGAGTTAACAAACAAACAAAAAAGCAAATCTGAAGGATATTTGGTTCCAGCAACATGGCAGAGTTAATGGAGAACCACACACAAAAAACCCACCTACAAATTCTATGTAAATTCATACACCAAAAATGTAATATAAAACTGAGAAGAAAAGAAGAAAGGAAAAAGGCAAGGAAGGAAGGGAGGGAGGAAGAGAGGGAAGAAAGGAAGGGTGGAAGGGAAGGAGGAAGGAGGGAGGGAGGGAGAAAGAGAGGGGAGAAAAGAAGGAAATCCCCTCGCCAGGAACAAAGAGGAAACTAAAATCTGGAAGAGTAAGTATCTGAGTTTATATCCCAGGAACTCTGGGGATGTTACCGGACCCTGAAATAATGGCTGGGGCTTTAGTTTCAATAAAGAGACTAGAGATGAGACTTAGATACACATGAGGTGAGGAGTAGGCCTTTGGGGAATCTCAGTGAGGGCGGGACTGGGACACCTGTACCCACCAGTCCAGGAAGAAAGTAAAGAAGCTAGGCTCCAGGGGCTGCTACCCCTGGAGCACTACCTGAATCCTTACAGGAACAGTTCTAAGAGACAAGGAATTTCTAATTTTAAAAAATCCCCGTTGAAAAAAAACTTTTCAGTTAAATAAAACAAAACAACAAAAGAAATTATCTACCATGAGTGAGACATAATATATATCACAGTAGTCAGGAAGACTAGCATTCCCCAAATATCTCATAGAAAAATCTTTTAAAGAACCACAAAGAAGTGTGTTTAAAATAATTAGATTTTTTTTTTAAAAAAGAAACTCATAAAAGACATTTTGAAAAGAAAAAAAATTGGAAGTTTGAGGACAACACCAAATAGAACTTCTAGAAATGGTAAGTATAATGTTTGAAATTTAAAACACATTAAATAAGTAAAATAGCATAGTAGATACAACTGGAGAGAATTGATTAACTGGTGGATAGCTAAGAGGGAATTATTCAAAATGCATTTTTAAAAGATAAAGGGAAAATATGAGGACATTATACATACAAAGAATAAAGTGAGAAGGTTCTAAGCATATTTTAATAGGCATCCCAGAAGAAGAGATTAGAGAAAATGAGAAAGAAGTAATATTTGAAGAAATAATGACTAAGAATTTTTCAGAATTGAAGAAATTATCCTCAGATTCAAGAATCACAACGATCCTCAAGGTACTGAATCTAAAAAGCATTTGACAATCTATAGATATAAAAGCCAAGGGACCATAATGGTGGAACGACCTGAACAACTGGAATGACTGGAACGCCTGGAGCGACTGGTTGCTATGACACACACTGTGGCGGCCAACCAGCTCAATCAGGGCCCTGATTGGTTCCCCAACCTCCCACAGTGCCCCCCCGCAACTGACCCGGCCCCAATCGGCCCCCATAGAGGTGGGCGGCCGGACCTCACCCATGCACAAATTCCTGCACCAGGTCTCTAGTAGATAATAAAATTGAAGTCATGCATCCCTCATGACCCAGCAATCCCTCTTTTAGATATACACCCAGATAATGTCTCATACATATGCATGAGGAGTTATTTACAAGAATGTTCACTGAAGCATGGCTTGTAATACAAAAAATTTGGAAACTAAATTGTCCATCTGTCTAGTAACAGATAAACTGTGAGTTGTTTTTCTTATAATAGACTAACCCAAAGAAGTAAAATAATAAATCATAGCTACATGTATAAATCTTTGAGTAAAAAAGGAAGTTTCAAAATGATTAAGTACAGCATACCTTTTATATACTAGTAAATTTTAAGTATACATAGTAAAATACATGTATACAAATGTAGTGAAAATATAAACATATGCATGGAAATGTTCACATCAACGTCAGAATAATGATTACATTTGGTAGAAAGGAAAAGGGGCAGGATTGGAAGATGGCTAATTATACTTCCTTTTATAAAAGAGATTTCTGAAGGCAATATGGCAGAATATTGACAATATTCTGCCATATTGCCTTATGATATGGCAGAATAGATATGGCAGAATATTGACAATAGATATGGCAGAATATTGACAATATTCTGCCATATATACCAGGTAAATATTGATGAAACTTCTGACAAACTACCTTTCACATACTTCGAAAATTTTTATCGATAATGATTTTAAAAATAAAGCTATGTCCTAAAACAATTAGAACAAGAACAAAGGAGAAGAGATGGCATAGGTGTTGATCTTGAACAGATGTCAAAAGAGAGTCAGAGCCAGCATATGGACCTTAGATAAGTCATCTAATCCTTCAACCTGTTTCTCTCATCTCAGGTTCCTGGAATAAGCTATCACCACTAAGCTCTAAATTTACCTGTGAAGCTCACTGTCAATCAAGGCAAAATGACAAACACATTGTGGTTTTTGTTTTACTATAAAAGGAAACACAAATTCAACAGAAAATAGAGGTTATTTTTCTGCCACTGAATTTTCATGAGTATGGGAATACAGTTCTCCAAGGACTTCTCTCAGTTCTGTACAGATTGGATCTTCTGAGAAAAGGACATGGTTGAATAGCAAACAATTTGAAAGAAGTATATTCCTCTGGAGAGATCTAGCGATGTACTTCCCAAGACATATCACAGGCACTAAAAGTAAAGGCCTTTGCTCCTTCCCCTCCAGACACATACGCTCTTCTCCCTTTCTCTCTCTCCCTCCTTCCCCAACTCCACCAAACTGGGCAGACTACCAGCAACCATATAAAAGGCTAAATCTCCTAATTGCAGGTGTCCTCTCCTATGATGCAACTTACTGTGTACACACAGAGGTAACATCTGGCTCTTAGCTCATTGCCCTGTGGGAACCGAGTGTAGAAAACTGACACAAGATGCTGTATTGGTTGCTGCACTAGCTGTGAATAATAAACTGCTGTGAATCTGCCACAAGTCTGTGTCTCTGTCAGTGTGTGTGTGTGTGTGTGTGTGTGTGTGTGTGTGCGCGCGCGCGCGCGCGCACCTGCGCGCACGCGTAACTGTGGCAGGCTAACTTGTTAGCTTGTAAATGACGTAAAAATCTCATCCTTCACAGCAAAGAGGAGCAAAGGGAAAGACTATGTAAATAATGTAATGGACAGTCCCTTTAAACATGATTTCATAATGAAGACAGAAATAGTCTTCAAAGGACACTTTTACATCAATCTTCTGTAAAAACCCTGGGTCGAATAATGCAAGAAAAGAAATGTCAAGGCAAAACATTAGAGTCAGACAGACATTTCAATAGGAATTTAAAATAATACAGGTCAGCTATATTTCTTTTTGATGATCTAAAGACCACAAACACAAATCATTTACTTTCTCAAACATCAGATATTATAAGAGAGCTCTTTATAATGCTGTCTCAGGCAGTTCCTAGTTGAAATATCTGATGATTTCTGGAAAATGTCAAAATCTTTGGTTAGAGAAATCCCTGTATAATGAACATTTTGTTCATTTTAGCCATCCCGTCCATTATCCATTTTCTCGGCGCAAAATAACGCAGATTTTTGTATGAGGATTCATCCTTTCCCCTTTCTCCAATCCAGATTTTTGTTTGAGGAGTCATCTTCTCCCCTTCCTCAGGTCAGGTGGTCCGGATGGAGTTCCAACCCCCAACTCTAGGAATGCTGCAGGTAATGGAGTTCTAGGCCAATTTGTGACCACCATTCCCCTGATTTAGACATGAGTTACTCTCTAAGAGTGAATCTCAGGGTTGGCCAGGAATGCTGAGTCAAGCACACTCATTCTTTTAAGGTTTGTTGTAGGATTTTAGGTTTGACATAAGTAGTCATTTGTAGGCTTATATTTTGGATGATCCATCTGAAATTTACAGTTTCATATAATTCAATTAAATAAGATTAAAAAACAGTTCACATTACTTCTTCTTTCAGATTTAAACCAGAGAACATAATATCTTGGGAAAAGACCCAACTATTCATTTCTCTTATGCAACTGTTATTGTTTTACATGTAGGACAACCAAATGTGTCCTACATTTTTCAAATCTTGCAATTACAAAACATTTTCTATAAAAAGGATCCACATCTCGTGCAAAGGCAACATTCACTCACCTGCATGTTATATAGGGGCTGCTTTGGTACATTCACTTCCCTCAGCAGGCGGTGAGATATGCCCTTTAGCTCTAAAAGTCTACAAGCAAGCTGAGGCTGCAGGAGTTTGGCCACTGAATGGGAGGATCTGGATATGCTGTTCAATCCTTGAATTAATGCTCCTCGGTTGATCTTGGCTAAAGTAATGGCCATTTTGTCTTTAGATGGTTTTTTCATGGTTTCTCTTTTCTGGAAAATAAGCCTTTGAAAAGTGACTGATGTGTGATTATCCAGAGAATTAAGATCTACTTTAGGCAGAGACCAAGGACCACATAATTGTACACTGTGCATGGTCCTGGGCATACACTCCATGTTTACTGATGATATCCCACCCCCTACGACTCATAGATCCCACCATGTACTTAAATCTATACCTGAATATATGCATTGTTCCTTAGGATAACTACCCAGAATTTCAGTTATTAGTGTCAAGATATACATTTTCCCACTTTTCTCTCTAGGTTTATTTATTTATTTATTTATTTGCACTGATATTTAAGAGCTCTATAAAAAATATACAATTCTTATTCAAACATTATTCAATGTTTGAATTAATCAAATGATAATTATCATTCAAAACTTGTATTTCCCAGCTTGCTTTAAACATTTTAAATGATAAAACAGAGCATACATATATAAATCATAAAACAAATATCCTATATACTGATCAACAAGCTTAGGACACTTTTATTTCTAAAAAATTCTATGAGCATTCTGGTAGAAAAATGTGTGGCATTACCACAACACATAAAATGAAGTACTTCTCTGCTCTACCAGAAAGTGAATCACAGGGAAATTACTTACAATGTGGTCAGACTGCATTCCAGGCAACACACAAGTATAGTTCCATTCTTCTTTAAAGTAATGTTACAGGCTTTTCTGGCTTTTTAGTATAAGCAACTTTGAATCTCTATTTGTTGAGTTAAAATATATGTAATTATTTTAAGTGAATTTCTTGATCTACAATTAACATCACTAGTATATATTTGTCTAAGGGCTGAACATGCTATATATTTTAAATGCCTCCATTTTTATCCTGAAGTAATAATTTTATTATTGTTGCCTTTGTCCTCAAAGGTCAGTCTTCTCTTACTGGTCAGCATTCGCCATGGGAAATAAAAATAAAAAGCCATTCTAGCCTGTCAACTAGGATGTATTTCTGCAGCATGTGCTGGCTTAATCTGTTAACTTTATGGAAAAGTCCCATTAGCTCACCTGTGATCTTATCCCCCCTGCTAGTCAATATAACAGGAGAAAGTACAGTCTAAATTATGGACTTCTAGAATTCCAAGCCACTTTAGAATAGAGCAATCCTCACAAGCAAGTATGTGGTAGAGAGAGCAAGCAAAATAGCTCGAGGTACAATCTACTCAGTTGCGAGCATACCCATATGCAGGAGAGGAACCACATTGTCGGCAATAGCCAAAGCTCCTGCACATACAGATTCAAGTCCTCTGTGACCTTATGCTTAGCTGCTGTCAGGGCATAGGGCAGGCACCCCAAAATATCCCACAATGCAAAATGTCCCACAATGGCATATCAATTATTTTGAATTAAAATTACTTAAGAAACAGCTCATTCAAGAACAACTCTGGCCCCTCTCCCTCTCTCTCTCTCTCTCTCTCTCTCTCTCTCTCTCTCTCTCTCTCTCTCTCTCTCTCTCTCTCTCAAAGCAGGAGATAAATCTCCAATGTGAAAAGTTCTATTCCTGCACCTGGAGTCTAATGAGAGACATCCTTATTGCCAGAGTTAGGGAATTCAGAGCTAAGAAGTGTGTATTTAAAAAAAAAATTATCATGTTTTGTTTGTTTTACTAATTTACGACCCAAACCCAAATTTAGATTCCTCACTAATGAGTACCCAAATCTAAGTTCCTTCATCATGATAATTCTTCACAATTTATTTCTTTGTCTGCAAGATATGAAAAGCTGCATCGATCATTTCTCTGAGCATCATTGATGATCTGTTTGCATGCCTCAAATTGGTTTTTCTCCTGTTATCTCAACTTGTGCCAATTTAATCATTAGTCCAGCTGTAAAAACTCAAGAGGGACAGAGGAAGGACTTTCCATCCCCCACACTGCACCAATTCTTCCTCGCAACTCCTCCTCAAGGTGAAGCATCTGGAGTAAGTACATTCTGATTACAATAGACTGTGTTTTCTCTCATTACAATTTCTAAACCTCAAGGTGAGGGCCACAGTGCCAGGGCAAACAGGAACGGAACATGCACAGCTGTTCTGCCTTTACTGGAACCTCCTCTACGGAATCATTCGGTGCTTTAGAACCCTTCATTTTTGCAGTTGCAAAACATTAGCTTTCTACACTTTTCTTCTTTTTATTTTATGTTTCTTTATAAAATGTTGGTGATCTGTACACATTGGCCTATGCGCTGACTTTACATGTGCACTTCTATGAACCAATCTTGATTATTTCCCCCAAACACTATACTAAATGAGTCATTCAACTTTCCCCTTTTCTCCAAATTGTCTTTTCAAATTTTTCTCTCTGTAGAAAATTAAGCTTATTTGTAACTGATTATCTGTTAATCAAAACTTTCCTGTAGGGTTTACATAATTTGTGTTGAGCAAAATAGTATGTATTACAATAATGCTTTCATGCACTTTTTATTATCTTTCTCTTTTTAGTCTCATGGTGAATTTGTGGCTTTTTCCAACAAACTAACCTGTTCCTCATCTTTGTTTCCTTTAATGTTCAAATGGTTTCAATTTAATAACTATGCTTCCTTTCAGAGTTTTTTTTTTGTTTTGTTTTGTTTTTTTAATCCTCATCCAAGGATATTTTTCCATTGATTTTTAGAGAGAGTGGAAGAGAGATCAAAAGACAGACAGAAATATTGATGTGAGAGAAACACATCGATTGGTTGCCTTCTGAATGAGCTCCAACCTGAAAGGAGCCTGAAATGGAGGTACATGCCCTTGACTGGAATCGAACCCAGAACCCTTTGGTCCACAGGTCAATGCTCTATCCACTGAGCAAAACTGGCTAGAGCCTTTCAGAGTTTTCAAAACGCTTTCTCTTTTTTGATACTTTCTTAGATACTTTGTAAAGAATTACTTCTGACAACCAACTGTTTCTGACCACCTCCACTCTCCCTGCCACAAAACACTAAATCAACTTGTTACTGCTCTTAAGAACAGTGTTAGAAACCAAACCCAGCCACTGGATGCATGTGAGGTGGATCCTCATGTCTCTGGAATACTAAAGCGACAGCAGAAGAAGCTACTTAATTCATTTAGATGGATAATGAGACATTCTTCTTTAAAAACAACAACAACAACAATAACCAATCAATGAGTCCAATTAGTTACTTTTAAAATTAGCTCTAATAGAAAAAATGTAAATAAAACATTTCCCGTCTTTTTTGAGCTACCAGCTTTTTCTTTTTGTCTGTTATCTATTTTCTTACCTAGCTATATGTGTAAATTTAAATGTTAACTCCAAGTTAAGAAGTCCTCATTTCTTTTCCCTCAATTTTTTTTTTTTTACTCTTGGCATAGGTAAGCATCCTTGAATTTTTTGCTAAGTATGCAAGCTTAGAGGATTATTTTTTTAAAATATATTTTATTTATTTATTTATTTATTTATTTATTTATTTATTTATTTATTTTTTACAGAGAGAGGGATATAGAGTCAGAAACATCGATGAGAGAGAAACAGTCAGCTGCCTCCTGCACTCTCCCTACTGGTACATGCCCTTGACCAGAACTGAACTTGGGATCCTTCAGTCCTCAGGCCGACGCTCTATCCAGTGAGTCAGACCGGTCAGGGCTTAGATGATTATTTTTGTCATCATTTATCTTCATCAGAGCATATCAACAAATGCCAGAAAAGAAATTCCAATCACCACCCTCACCTCAGAGACACACAGGGGTACTTAAAGACCATTTACTAAAAGAAACTCCATCAGATTGGTTCAAGAATCCCACCTCAGATTTCTCTATTTGAGCTCCATCCTTTCAATACATATCCTGCTTTCCCTTTTTATTTTATTTTCCCTAGAGCCAGGCCCATTTCTCTATCATCAGCAGTTTTAATGCTGAACTCCAATTTCTATTATGCCAGCTTTTTACTACCCTACAACTATAAAGCCAGCCTGTCAGCAAATCTTACTCAATTCTTCCTCTGAATAGCCCACTTCTCACTGTCTCAATACCAAGTCCATTGTATTTATATACCACCATCATCTCTTCTGGACTAGTAAACTAGCCCCCTCAGTGGTCTCCATGCTTCCAACTTTGCCTGTTTTCATTCTTGTCCCCAACACATCAGCCAGAGAGCTACAATGAAAATGGATGTCAGATCATATCTTGCTTTTATTCTACTCAACTGTTTCAGTGGCTCCCTGATGCACTCAGTGTTAAAGCCAATGTACATACCATGGGAGACAAGGCCCTACAAAGGTCGTGTTTTCTTTGCCACCTCATCTGTTTCTCTCCTTTTTCCTCCTCGTAACTTGTTGAACTAGTTAGGTATACTCCCAGCCCAGGAACTTTGCATTAGCTATGCCATTTGATCCCTCAAGGATACCAATGTTCTCTTCCTCACTTGCGTTAGTCTTAATTCAAGAATCAATTAATTCTTAGTGAGAAAGACCCTCGGTCTTAACCATCAATTGTTATTCTTACCCTTACTTCATGTTTCTTCTATGCTGTATTTTTTTTCCCCTTCTCCTTAAGACCTACCATTAACATAATATGTTTTTTTTTTCTTCTTTATTCTGTTTTTGCTTGACTAGGATTTAAGTTCTATGACAATGTTTTATATCCACTTCGCTTACTCATCATTCCTTAGTGCCTGGAACTGTCTGGCACACAGTAGATGCTCTATAAATGCAAGTTAAAATGAATGAATGAATGAATGAATGAATGAAGACTATCAGAAAAACATCACAGTAATGAGAAATATCATAGAAATATACCAAATATTAAATTAGAAATCACCCAGAAAGTTTTCAGTGCATAATGTAGTTTGTAACTTTCACAATAATGATAGTGCCCTACAAGAAACAGCCCACCAAAAATAAAAATATAACTGAATTATAGAACATCCTAGTTACAATCAGGTAGATTCCTCTATAAAAATTTCACCATCATTCCCATCATAATTTTTTTTTTGCCCCAGACCAGCAAGATGGCCTTTTCCTAAATAAATAAATGCCTAAAATAATAATTTTTAAATTACTTAAATATTAATCACAATGTTTAGAGATTTAAAATACAATTCAATTAATAAAGCCCTCATTTATTTTAGTATGTTTGGGAACTAAAATGCATTATGAAAATTAAAAAATTTGCAGCATTTACAATGTGACCTTTTTTTTTAAAAAAATCTAGTTAACAGTGGAGTATTAGCATTGTTTTCTGGATAATTTATTTTTGGAGAGCAAATAACTTCAACATGTTACCATATCCCCTAACTATTTAGGTTCCCTGCCAATCTCAATAACACATTCTTGACGGTAAATTGTGGAAAAGAACAATGTTAAGTGTTTTGAAAATGAGAAATGAAGAACTTTTAACTATGTCTATGTTCTCTGAGTGGGGTAAAGTTTTTATAAGTAAATGACTTCAGTGAATTGGAACCAGGAAGAGTTCTTTCTTTGAGGATTAGGACACCAATGTTTCACCAGAAAGCATGGTGCCACTCTAGTGATAATGAGGCTATGCAGTGGGTAGGAAGAGATGAAGGGAGTTGTAAAGAAACCTGCAACTCTTTTGATTAAATAAAATACCTGTTCTCTAATATTGGCAATTATGGAAGAATCACAGTTGGAAGGGGCAGTGGGACTTTCCAGGTCTGTGTCTGGCTCTCTCAATAATTACTGCCACTGCTGTGCTGGCCTGAACCATTTTACATCCCAGACCAAGCATGGCCACCTGCCCATCCCTTAATACTCCAGCGCATAGCCAAGAAAACTCTCCAATGCTTCAAAAGACTTATATCAAGACCAGGGGCATATAAAGAGGGGAATCAAAGAGACACTAAGTCTAAGATATGATACTACAAAACCCAACTTGCCTTCTGGAGCTCATAGGCCTTATTCTACCCTATCTAGATGACCTCCGTCTGGATGCCACCTTACCGCTTTGCAACCAGATAACTGTTCTTCACTGTCACCCCTCCTCAAGGTCTAGGCCCAAGACCCATGCCATTTATTCAGATTTACTTGACATTCTGGGAGCATGATGTTTTATACTTTTTTGGTCTAACTGATACTGCTTCCTTTGAAATATTCTTCTCTGCTCCTACCCACTTATATCTTTGCTCAACTTGTAAACTCCTGTTCATCCTTTGACACTCAATTTAAGCATCCTTCCTATATCAAGTCCTCTCTGACCATTCTACGTAGAGTCCTTTATTCCTCTAAATTTCCCTCTTTCCATATTCTAATGCAATTACTTGTTTACTACTTAGTCTCCACTAGATTACGCACAATGAGTGAAAGAATCCTATCACGTTTATCTCTGTATCCCCTCTCCCCAGTCCCATACAGTGGTAAAGTATTTATTAATAATAAAATACTGAATACCAGTCTGATGCACTGGGTGTCTGGATGAATGGTTAAAGGTAGCTCTCATACCTCCTTCTCTGGAATGAAATATATAGATTTTGTGATTATAATGTGTTAACTTGGAATGCTTTTTTGTTTACTTTCAGGTTTTGGTTACATTCTTCATGTTTGACATTGCCAAAAGTCTGACTTCTGGATAAGCAGATTGTTATTGTACCACTTAACTTTACAACGCATTCCATTCCAACTGTGGTCAAAATGACTGAAACACCACTTCCATTAAGAGCTGTGTACTTTCAAGTAAAGAAGGTTACATGTGTCCTCTAAACATGTTACTTTTTCCTGACCATATGTATCTTTAAAATTCTCTCTCTTATCCCTCTTCTAATCCCAAAATTTTATGTTTCAAATCCTTTTTGGAACAGATGTTTAAAACATATATACTTATCTTTCCATTGGAATAATTTATGTCAGTTATGCTTTTTCACTGATTAAAGTGCCAGATATTTTAATTAAAGCACATTTAGGAATTTTTCTGATTTTATAGTAATCATTGCAATTGTGGCTGAGAGAGTTCTAGTTTTTCAATCTAACAATATAGTGACTATCTTTAAATGTAGTTTATTTATCTACTTCACTTCTTTTTTTAAAAATATATTTTATTGATTTTTTATAGAGAGGAAGGGAGAGAGATAGAGAGCCAGAAATGTTGATGAGAGAGAAACATCAACCAGCTGCCTCCTGCACACCCCCCACCGGTGATGTGCCCGCAACCAACGCACATGCCCTTGACCGGAATCGAACCTGGGACCTTTCAGTCCCTAGACTGACGCTCTACCGCTGAGCCAAACCGGTTTCGGCTACTTCACTTCTTTATCCCAATCTCTCCCAATGAGTAAGAGTTGAAATTTGTGGGGTGGGGGTGGGAGGTGGGGGAGAAGCTTGAAGTGAAATTAATGTTTTTCTAATTTTCAAACACTGACCTCAAAAATAAGCATTAAATAACTGATATGATATTAAAAATACAATATACTTCTTATAATTCTTTTCAGTTATGAAATCACATTACCTGATTAGACTGTGATACTCTTGGGATGTTAGAAATATCATCTTTAAACTCATCTACCAGGTCCATGGTTATTCTCTGGATAGGCCCCTCACCTGAGACAAAAAGAAGTTAAAGGGGAGCGGGAATCTTAAAAAAAAAAAAAAATTCCCTAACCATAATTCAAAATAACAGGGAACACTGGGTCCACTGCTTAGGTGGCTGGGAAAACAAACAAACCCTAGGGGGCTTTATTCTGTTTCCCACACCCATATCCCCTTCACAGCAAGCTGGTGTTTACTTCTTCCAGAAAAGTTCTTCAACACCTGCCCACATATCCACCCAATATATCTGATTGACATGATGAGTTCTTGCTTGGGTTCCTTTTGCCTGACAAGCGTGCAAGCCTGGGCAATGCTTATCCTTCTCTCCCATTAGTGAGGGATGCAGGCAGCCTTCCACTCGGGGAAAGCAGGGAAGGGCGGAACCTTCAGCTTACTGCCAGAACTCTTTGTTACCGCACAATGGGCCTCTGAGAACTTGCTACAGAATCTTCTGAGATTACTCTGGCGATGAGAACTGCATTTGGAGGCACAGAGGAAGAGAAAGGGGATTGAAAACTGAACCGCACTAAGGAGTTCCACAATATAAATTGAATTTTGTTCCAATGTCTGCAGTGATACCTCAATTAATGGATCATCTGAGAACAAAGCTCCCTTTGGGATGAGTTGGCGTATGTTTTAAAAGAAATGCTTCACACACGATGCCAAGTGGGAAAGAAATACCAGCAGTTAATTCAGAAGGACTTCTGGGCGGATTGCTTTCCGCACCCACATGAAGGTCACTAGACCCGACCTAGGCAAAACGGTGCGGCCTTTGTTTTGTCTGTCTTCTTTACAATCTCTTCATCCTTTCCCCTCCTGATTCTCTCCCACTTAGATGACCATTATTCTCCTCTTACCAAACCGGGGAGGAACTGCAGGTTGTACAGACTTAATAGACTACCTAGTTACAATTCAGTGTGGATGAGTTGATTTGGTTAACACAAATCCCATTGTAACTTGAAATCTTTTCATTTAATTGTAGCGGAGTGATTTTCTTCAGTAAGCATAAAGCGGCTGCTGGAAGTCTATTGGTGGGAAGTGTTTGGAAAAGAGAAATGTTCATCAGGAGACTCTTCTACCCAGTGGGGTCTGACAGACTCTCACCTTTCACACAGACCTTAGTCCTAAGAAAGCTACCATCACAGCACAACCACCCGTCCTAACCTTAACCTGCCTTCCTTACAGTTTAAGATAATCACACCCTTAACATTTGGAAAGTGCAATCATTGCCAGAAAGAATATCTAATTATACAAAGGTGAATATACAAACCGGGGTCTATAAGAGAACAAAGCTCTTTATTTGCCTTTATCAGGATCCTTGGCTATCTGAATCTTCCTCAGAGGAAACGCCTGGCAGGACCTTCTCTTATCTTCTTCCCTGGTCTCACTGGCATCTACCCCCTAATTCTTTTTATCTATCTATTCACCAACAGGGTCCCACCTCCCAATTGGTTTCACCCAGTTTTCTTCTCTTTTCATCAGTTCTTGCTCTCCTGGGCATCCTATAAAATTAACACATCTACAAGAAAAATATTTTTCATGCTACTATTTTCTACACTTCAAGCATAACCCAACCATGTGTGTTATGCTAACAAAGTCCTTTTTGTCTCTTCTTTCTAATGGCCCTGATGGAAAAAAGACTGGGTGTAGTGGTGGTTGTAAAGAAAAAAAATTCCACCCTTCCACATTTATATTTGTGACCATACGATAATAGTTTGCTTTTTATTTAATCATATTTATATATTTATATCCTGATATAACATCTTAAGTGGTTTTAGATAAAGTTAGATAAAATGTAAATGAATATTATTTTCTTTATTGTTATTTTTTACAACTTATATTAGAGTGCTCCATACTGATGCATTCTAATACAAATTTGAGGCAGCTTGTATGTAAGTAGCATGTTTGTAAACTGAATCTTTTGAAATATACTAAGGAAGCCCTGGCTGGTTTGGCTCAGTGGATAGAGTGTTGGCCTGTGGACTGAAGGGTCCCAGGTTCAATTCCCATCAAGGGCATGTACCTTGGCTGTGGGCACATCCCCAGTGGGGGTTGTGCAGGAGGCAGCTGATCGATGTTTCTCTCTCATCAATTTTCTAACTCTCTATCTCCCTTCCTCTCTGTAAAAAATCAATAAAAAAAAATACATATTTTTTAAAAGAAATATACTAAGGAAACATTTTCTTTAAAAGTAATTCTGGTTAAATTATTCTGTTGGGTAAATAATACTTGTTAAACCAAAAATAAATTGCTAATACATCTCTTGTAAATACAGATTTTTTAAAAAGATGTTTCAAAACAGGCATATTTATATCATTTTTCTTCTTCTTCTTAAAAATTCTTTAAAAACTGTATTCTACCAGTTCAGTTGGGTACCATTATATATAGACCTGGAAAGCCTGATGGAAATCTTCAAATAGTTACAGTAAAGTGCAGAATTAGCAACCTCAGAATTACTGCCCAAGTTTTGGGATTGCTGATATTTGATAGTATGGTAGGAAGTTGAGAAAGTCAAATTTGTTTGTTCACTATTTTTACTGTCTACATATATAAAAGCCTAAATGACCATTACGACCAGATGACTGGATGACTGGACAACAGGCCGGTAGCTATGATGCACACTGACCACCAGTGGGAAGATGCTCAATGCAGGAGCTTCCCCCTGGTGGTCAGTGAGCTCCCACAGCCAACCTCCTGTGGTCAGCCAACCTCCCACAGTCCCTCCCCCCCTGGCTGGCAGTCCCCAATTGGCCTTAATTGAGGCCGGCCAGTTAACCTCCCAGCCCCAATTAGACCCATTAGGAGTGGGCGAGATGGATCCCTGATCCACCCCAATTGCTGGCTAGGCCCAGGGACCCTGCCAGTGCACAAATTCATGCACCGGGCCTCTAGTCACAATATAAGCTCCATGAGTGCAAGGATTCTGGTTGGCTCAAGGCTATATTCCCAATAGTTAGCATGCTTTTACAATTTCACAATATTATAGTAAACATTTCCTGAAGTAATGTCATCAAATTTGTTACTGATATCTCAGGCAGGAGGAAATATTTTTATCATTAACACATTCATTATGGAGTCAATCAATTGATCTACTAGTGCAGAACACATAAGACATTATACAGTATATATACAAATATATGCACACATAATGCTTATCAAACATTAGAGGGAAAAAGCTTTTTCTTCTACATACAAAGCACTGCATTATTATCTATTTAACCCCTCAGAATAAATACTGGCTCATGTCACATGCCCTAAGTAACGGAATTAATTAAATCAAGATAAGCTCAATAAAAACTAGAAAACAGATACAATGACAACATATGCCTTTGATGTGCTTTTCTGCTTTTTAGGGGGTAAATAATACTGAGTATATTAATTGCAAATAATCTATTATTCTTTATATCTGAGAATAAAAAGTAAATGTATAGCAGGTTAATGGGGTTAGTATTGGTAAGTATGAGTAAAGTATATGAAAATATGTAATACAGTAGATATCAAAACAATGTACATGTGAAAAATCTCAAAATGTTTATTTTTTAGAAAATAATCCCTAAAACTGAAAACCAGTTGAAAAAAATTAGCTGTACACCTAAAAATGATTTATTTTGAGTGAAGTTAGAACATAGTTCAAAAGATGCAAAGACAAAAAGAACTAAAAAGACATTTTAAATTTATTCAGTCATTTTCTTTGTAGTGTTAATATTGGTTTTCTTTGAAATTTTCCTCATACTACAGGAAAGCACACTTGTATAGATGAACAATGTTATCAAGAATTTCAGTAAAATATAAAAGACTTAATGAAAAAAATCAAAGAACAAAGTAAAACATTGTAATGCTGAACAGAATTGAAAATATTATCATGAACGAATGATTTTTAAAAATACATTTCTTTTCTAGCTGCACAAACTTCAAAGGCTAAAAACATTGCCAACTGGTAGAAAAGAACACGCAGGACTCCTTGGAAAGGAGGAAATAGTTTCTCTCAGTCAGGGGCAGAAGTACAAGGTGATCCAGGGAGATCTCAGGCCAGAACAGAAGAAAGTTTTTTGAAGATTAATGAGGTCCTATTAAAAGGACACAGCAGCCAGCTTCAGGTGGTTTCTACGGGCCTTCAATGTGATGACTATGATTTGGGCTTTCCAATGGAAGGATCAAGCTATTATCATGCTAATCCAGTGGTCAGTACAGCATCATTAATTATGGGGCAAACAAATCCTATGTGTCTCCTAACATAATGCAATACGAATTACACACCATCTATGACATATCCTAGCCAAAAATGTTCCAACTTGATCTAACTTTTAGATCTATCTTCCAGTTTCCCAGAATACAGGAGATGGGCAAATAATCTAATTCAGTGCTTCTCAAGCTGTAGTAAAGAACCAGTACTTCTGTAAATTAAAAATGAATTATCTGCTGAAACCGGTTTGGCTCAGTGGATAGAGCATCAGTCTGCAGACTGAAAGGTCCCGGGTTTGATTCTGGTCAAGGGCATGTACATTGGTTGTGGGCACATTCCCAGTAGGGGGTGTGCAAGAGGTAGCTGGTCGATGTTTCTCTCTCATCGATGTTTCTAGCTCTCTATCCCTCTCCCTTCCTCTCTGTAAAAAATCAATAAAATATATTTTTTTAAAAATGAATTATCTGAAAAAAGGGAAGTGCATATGAAAACATCAAGGTGGTTTTGGTATTTATTTTTAAATATTTATATAGTCAGGTAAAATTATCTTTTCTTTTGAAATCTTCTGGTTTTCTTGTTAAAGTAGTTTTTTCATATATATATATATATATATATATATATATATATATGATTTTGTCTGTTTTTTTTCTTTAAAAATTAATTTATTATTTTTAAATGTTCTATCTATGCTTCATTTTTAATAGACTGTTATTTTATTCTATCTGAGTACCCAACTGTTTTAGTACCACTAATTGAATAAGCTATGATTTTCTCATTGATATGAAATACCACATATCTATATAGACACACACAGAGATATATATTATGA